CGGTGGGCTTCAGCCTCAACCTCAGGCTCTACCTCTATCTCAGCCGACACCTCATCATCTTCAGATTCCGAAGAATCAAAATCATGACGAGGAGAAGGAGGTTCAGACTGAATCTCAGTCATCACACTCCCAGGTGACAGGCTGAGGACGTCATCGTCCCTGTCCCCATTCTCCATTTCCGTACCCCTCCTGGAAGTAGACATGGGAGTGTCTACTGTTGAGGGCAAGGTAGAGTTCTGGAGACTCTCTGCAAAAGTCCTCTTACGAGCTCTCCGAGAGGCGGGGATATTGGTCTTGGAGCGAGATGTCCTAAAAGCCCTAATAGGTCTTTTAAACACAACCTCCTCCCCAGCCCCAGAGGTGGGTAGGAGCTGAGCATTCAGCGAGCCCCCAACCTGCTTAGGTGAGACCGGCCCCCAACCCTGATTAAATCCCGGAGGATAACCCGAGTTGTACCCAAATCCCTGAGGAAATGGGGCCCTAGGACCATAAGGAAAAGAGTGACCCCAGTACTGATCATACTGACCAGTGGGTACATGGGAAGGAACACCCTGACCAAAAGGAAAAGGTGAACCGCCACTCCCTCCCGGAGCGAAACCAGAAATGAAAGGCCTAGGGCCAGACATATGACCAGATTGCTGCTGGAAAGCACCAAAACCATGATGCACAGTACCCGAAGCATGAGGCCCAAAGGACTCATACCTGAGACCATGGGGTGTCGCCCGACTCTTGTCAGACTTGTCACCTTTTCCATTACCCATTGGCGCGGCCCACGGGTTCTGTATGGTGCAAGCTGGCACGAAATCGACCCCGACAGGGTTGATACCGGATACCTGACCAGGAAAGAGAAGGGACCGTGAAGAGTAATGAGAGGTAGCAGTGCTGCTACACTCTGTGGGGCCCAGATAATTCGAAGAATTACCACTCCCCATCGCAGCAGAGGACCCAAAAGGATTCTCATTCATGACTCTATCCCCACCAACAGACGCTCCAGGACTGACTAAATAGTCAGAAACTGGAGGAGGGCCCACCCTTTCCAGAGATGAACTAACACCAATGGAAGGGGGGCCAACCTCCTTGGCAACAGGATAGCCAACACCTGTGCTCTCTAGGCTAGACCCAGCCAAGGACTGGATAGTCTTGGGACCCTGCAGGGCCTCTGCCAACAAGGTACCTGCCAAAGGACTCTCCGAGGGTCGTCGGTACTACCAGAGGAGGACCTAGCCTTGTCCTTCCTCTTACCCCGTTTGTCAGACTTGGAGGAGTCCTTCATGGTTCACAAACAAGATAAACAAACAATTCAGCCTTTATTTGTAAAATAAAATAATTTTAATTCACAAAAATCACCGTAAACGAAAACGAAAGTGAAAGTAAACACTCACGAAAACGAACGGGGACCAAAACACGTGGCAATGAGACCGATGTTTTACAACGAAATACGGTGAATAAAGGCAAAAATATATATCAACAATAGCAGGGCCCTTATTTGTAAAAATTAAAACAATTTTAATTCACAAAAAATCACCGTAAACTAAAACCAAAGTGAAAGTAAACACTTACGAAAACGAACGGGGACCAAAACACGTGGCAATGGTACCGACGTTTTACAACGAAATATGGTGAATAAAGGCAAAAAAATATATAAACAATAGCAGGGAAACTGGTATAATATATGAAGTATGAAAACAAACAATGGCAGGTTACCGCCCTCAGAAAACTTGAACGAAGTCCAGGGTAGAAATAACCGCCATGTGCTTCTTTCGAGTTGAAGAAAGAGGAAGTTGGAGGTGCGCGCGCATCCTACACCCGTATGTCCGGTTTGGACAGGGAGTAGTTTCGCATTTTCGCGGGGCATTTGAAACTTTACCTTTGGTAGTTAAAGAACTGGTAGTTAGAGATCATTTGCATAATATTCGGACGTGGTAAGTATTGTTTTTGATATAAAAATCGGATTTCGAACAGTTTGACTGACATTCTGTCAACTTTCTCAGAACAACTTGAATAAAATAATTTCTTCCCCTGTCCAATAGCCTTACATGTAGATGTCACTGAGCTTAGGTAAGAAGAGCAAGAAACTGAGACTGATCCTAAACAGGATAAGAAATATACTGGTAACAAAAAACATTCAAGGCACACTTTAAGGATCCTTATTGGGGAATACAGGATCAAGTGTTTGTAGCGGAACTGGACTCAAACCCAGTGGTTCGCCCGTTGCATTTTTCTTATTCCTGTTAAAGTGGTGCCATGGCCAGGATTAGTTGTATTAGTAAGGAAAGACACCTAGTCTCAATAACACAGAATCACAAAAATGAATCTAAGTTCAATCTAGACGAAAGCTCTACCAATTAAGCTACCTGGTTACTGACGAACAACCCTGTCCAGTTCCGCTACATGTTAATACAATGTTATTCCAATTTGCCTTTTGAGTCTTTGCTCACAGACTACTTGGCAATTATAATATAAAGCTCTGCTGTTGCCTTCTGTCAATACAAAACTGCTCCATTTTTGTTGAGCCATGTTTCAAAGCGGACTGAATTAGAACAATGACAGGTCAGTAAGGGCCCCGTCTTGTGGCAATATATCCTCCATAATCATCAAGAAGCAATCTGCCCACATAGCTGAGCTTGACGTTTGACATTTGGACTTCAAAAAGAATCGCAAGGAACCAAAATATACATTTTACATGTACTATGATGCGAGTCTTGTTTCCTTCCATCTCCATTTTTGCTGGGCTAACAGAAATGTAAATACCAATGCAATACGCATTTGTTAGCTTTGATTTGTTTTATTTCACCTTAACTCTTTCCGTACCGCAACTCCGGTCTGGATTCCGTACCGGATGTACTTATTAGACTCGCCCCCGCGCATATAACAAAATGGCGGATTATTTATATACTTTTTAGACTAGGTGTAACTGCCGCAAGAATTAAACAGGTAACCGTGAACAAATATTGTTATTGTTTCATGTTCTGGTTCATAGACAAACACTTCTTCATTTTCACAGCATAATGACTAACTGGCAGCTGATTATGACTGAGAAATCGACATTTGTCTAGCAATAAACGATACGATTCCTTGTATTTAACACAGCGTTGTAGTGCAGGTTTCCAATGGGGATTGATTATGGTTACGGATGTGGAGTCGTTGAGTTTTTTTCTAAATACAAGTAGATTTCATCAAGACTTATATTAGAATATTCAAATTTACTTCCATAAGTCTCAACAAATATCTGATGATGAATTTACGAGTGATCGTATCGAATTAAGTTGCCGCCATCTTGTTTACATTTGAGGCACCAAACGCAAACATCTTGTGGCAAATGCGAAAACATTAAGTCACATAATAAAAAAGTGTACTCTGCACAAATAAAATTATTTCTTCCAAACAGGTGGGTTCTGATTTTAGCGACAATTAATTGTTTTTTTGCGACAGTCTCATGCGCTAACCAACTAAACATCAGGCAGGTTACATCAAAGTTTCTTGTCGTGTGTACACGACAACGGGGATGAGACGGCCCTTTTTTTTGTCGTCTGTACACGACAACGGGGACCAGGATGGCATATTGTTGTCGTGTGTACACGACAACGGTACGGAAAGAGTTAAATACCTCCTCAATCAAGAGCCAGGGTCAAAGTAAGAGATCCACTTTGTCTTTGACCTTTGGACCAAAATGACCTTGACCATTAACCCAGTGACCCTGATCTTTGGTCAGTTGACTTATTCTTTAATTCTGACCAACTTTGCTTCTTAATATCATAAAATGTTCTTCAGTGAAAAATACAAAACTTGACCTTGACCCTTTGGACCCAGTCACCTAGACCTAAGGTCAGTTGACTCTGTGTTAAGTTCTAAACAACATTGCTTCATAATGTCATAATAAAATGTTCATCAGGGAAAAGGTACAAAATTTAACCTTCACCTTTGACCCAGTGACCTTGACCTTTGGTCAATTGACTCCTTGTTTAATTCTGAGCAACATTGCATCGAAGTGTCAAAGCGAAATGTTCACCAGTGAAAAGATACAAAATGTAACCATAACCTTTGACCCAATGACCTTGACCTTTGGTCAGTTGACTCCTTGCTTAATTCTGATCAACTTTGCTTCATCATGTCATAACAAAATGTTCATCAGTGAAAAGATGGAAAATTTGACCTTGACCTTTGACCTCGACTTTTACCTCAGTGTGTCTCTTTGTTCAATTCCGAACAACTTTGCTTCATAATGTCATAGCGAAATATTCACCAGTGAAAAGCTACAAAATTTGACCTTGACCCAAGACCCAATGACCTTGAGTCAGTTGACTCCTTGTTTAATTCTGATCAACTTCGCTTCATAATGTCATAACAAAATGTTTATCAGTGAAAGATGTAAAATTTGACCTTGACCTTTGAACCTAATCACCTTGACCTTTGACCTTCACTTTTTTATTCAATGTGTATTTTTGTGAACTGAACATCTTGACCAAGTTTCATGTACATCGGTCAATAAATACCAAAGTTATCACCCAGGAACAAAATATGTGGACGGACAGACAGACAGACAAACAGAGTGATTACTATAGGTACCCTAATCTCCGATACGGGGCAATAATTATTCATTTATAGTTTCAACTAGTAAAGGGGAGACAACTCTTATCACCTAATGTTCAAATTGAATGTACAAAAGCAAGAGGCTGTTTGTAGAAAAACATTGAAAGATGGATGGACAAATAGAGAGGAAGCAACAAAACCCTAATTTCTGCTCATACTGTCTTCCCTAATTAGCCAGTTAATGCCATATATCATACCTGTGGTAGGTTGTTCAAAACCAAGATTCTTGACAGAGGAAGTTATCAGCTGTAAATTTTCACTTGTGTCAGACTGTAATTCACTGCATACTATTCAAAAAAGTTTTACCAGTTGTTCAACCTAGGTACTATAAAGAACTTCTTCAATTTTACCATCAATGTTAAAGATGAAACCTTACACACAGTAGAAGATATTTTAGTTGGTGTAAATACCTGGAGTGAGATCAATGCTGCCAGTCATATTAGGAGCTGTATCTTTTTCTTGTACCAGAGAGCCTATAACATTACCATCCATGCTCAAGGTCACATTGATTCGCTTGATATCTGAAAAGTTAAATTCATGTTATTTGGTATATCTATCTACACTGCTACCCAGTCATTCGAACAAAAGCAACACCATTTATGTGTTTATCAAAACCACATGCTTAATTTAGATCATATATCCCATCCTCATACACCTCAAAATCATCTAAAGTCTCAACTCAAACTGTTGCCACAGACAGGCTTAAGCTGTGTATACCACAGCCACTTACAGTTTGTAGACTTAAATCGTTTAAAACTTTAGGATCCCTGTGCAATAGGCAAAACACTTAGAGAATACCTCTGTTTTGTTCGTTTATTCAGTAACCTCCCCTTGATTTTGTTTAAGATATAGCTGTAGCACGTTACACATTAGGGTAGGATACTATTGTCAGTCACATAGCTCACTTCACTTGATTAAGAATGGAATTGTAACGATCTGAAGTCCAGAAAGCAGATCACTGCCATGGACTATAATATTTTGTTTATCTTATCTTAATCATTTTTTAATAAAAGACTTACGAGGTATGGGTTTCTCTTCAGAAATGATCTATCAAAGTTATAGTCATGCTAGGAGAAAAACTCAAAAGCATAGTGCCAGTTTTTGGCAGTGATACAGGATTCTTTAAACTATTACAACAAACACTGTTATACTATCAAAAACAAAATTGTCATAACAAATCATCAGTTTAGATAATTATAGGCTAACAGGTCTTCAGTGAATGTATCAAAAGTGAAGTGGGTAAATAAACTTTATAAAATAAAATAAAACAAGACATCACAAGTGATACAAATCCCCTTACATTCACACATTGTGACATATGTGTATGTGTAATAGGAAATGAAGTCAATATAGAGCGAAGACAAAGTTTTTTCTAAAAAATAGTAACAGTGACCTAGACCTCAAATGTATAAACCCGAAATGAGATCTTGTTAAAGGCGTTACCATACCAAACACTTGTGTATGAAGTTTCATGAAATTCTGTTGAGTAATGAAGTCGCTAGAGCGATAACAATGAGTGTAACATACGTACGTATGTACTGGCGGGATCCTGATAAACGTATCCCTTCAAACTTCCGTCGCCAGGGGAGTGAAATGAATATCATAACTGAAGACCTCCTACATATTAAGAACAGGTCACTCAAAGATATTTTATCACACACCCAGTGCAGTCTATATGGGTCAAGGTCATACATTTAAACAAACTTCAAAGACCTCCATTCCTGCATGCTATAGGTAGACCTTTGTACAAAAAACAAACTTTGAAGATCATCATCCCTGCATGCTATAGGTAGACAAAAAAATGTTTATTTATACAAACTTCAAAGAACACCATTCCTGCATGCTACAGGCAAACTGTCACAACTGCCTTAGTTATGTAACAGGGTCCTTAGGGAACCTTTACCTGGTATGTGTAATTTGAGAAAGATCCTGCCAATATTTTATGAGAAATAGCACTAACAAACTTAAATCTCAAAAATTGAGATGACTGCCTGTCGACCATATCAAAAAGAGTCCGACCAGGTAAACTAAAACATGTATGGACAATGAATGCTGCTTCACACTTCAAGCTCAGAGCTCACAAGTAGATTTTCGAAGCTGTGTCAAAACTGTACTACATGGCCCGAAAAGTGGTCGACACATCCTACTGGTCAGCTGAACATGTATTGCACAACATACAACAATACAAAAAAAAAGCCAACAAACTTGAAGAAAGTGGAATGAGCTTCTTACCCCATGCACAGAAAGTAAGGAAAAGTGGAAAAATTGGCTAGGAAAAGTGGGAAGATGGGATTATTACCAGGCAACCACCCTCATGCACAGAAAGTAAGGAAAAGTGGGGGGTGGGCTTATTACCAGGCATCCACCCTATGCACAGAAAGTGAGGCAAAGTTGGGGGCGGGCTTATTACCAGGTAGGGTTTGTCACTGATAAAATACAGTATGTATAAAAACGTTTTTTGGCCCTATGTAAAAATTAGTAGGAGTTGTGTGGTTCAGGAAAAAACTAACAAACAACAATAACAACAACAACAAACAGGCAATAAACAGTTTTCTTACAGTCCTTTCCCTGTTCCAGTTGCATTGAAAAGAGGAGACAGAAACACATTTCGTAAAACAGATTAAAGTGGCCCACTTACAATTTAAACGGCTGTAAGGTGTTTTTACTCCGATACGTTAATGTGTCTAGTTATGGCTTTCAGTATTAAAAGTGATCATTTATCACATCATTTAATGTTTATTACAATACATTGTGTACATCATAAATAACTAGTATTTATAAATATATGTGGCTTTAACATCGGAGTTCACAAGAGTGGACTTTCACAGCTTGTGATAGGACATTGAATATTAATCAAACATTATAGTAAACGACTTGCATCTTTAAATTCATGAAACTTAGTAACCATTAAACGTAATAATGCCAACATTATTATTTTATTTTTTTTTATTTTTTTTCTAATGTTCACTCTGCAAACAATTTTCTACAATTTTTATGTGTGGCAGGCAAGGCCTGTCCAATCTCTAGTGATCATGCATGTGAGAAAAGCCGTACAATAGGCTTTATTTTCTTGCTGACTTGCATAATCATCGGCCAAAAAACTAAAGATACTTTTTGAAGACAATAATAATCTCCGAACATCAAAAATCCATTTATGACTGGGTTTGAGTCAACTAGTAATGTTTTATAGAGACAGTTGATGAACGGACAATGGTTTGGTTTGTTTACCATCCTATCAACAGCTAAGGACACAGCACCAAGCTTGTTACAAATCATCAAACTGTCTACTAATATATGAACTTACCCATTTCTTTTTTAATTTCCTGATTGGTACATTCTGAAGATGCCAAGCATACACGCTCAGAAGATAGACGATCAATCCAGGTTAGATACTTGGAGGTAATGTTATTTTTGTTACATGTCCCAGGTGGACATGGCCGCCACTCATCCTTTGCGCCATTTTCAGGGCACATTGTTATATAACCTGAAACATCACAGTAACAATATTTGAACAAGTCTTTTGTTACTGAAACAGACTTCACCAACATCTGAATTTCTGACCTCTGTAACTATATTATCCACTGAAATCCTGTCTGTACCACCCACTCCATAATATTAAAACCCACACATCCCAAGGACATCCTTGCCAACTCTCCCGATTTCGGAGGGACACTCCTGATTTTAGACCCTAAAATTTAGCATTTTCAACCAGTGAATTTGCTAAACTATTCCTATATTCTAATATCTAATGATTTCATCTGAAAGAACCGATCAATAGATGCCATTTAAAAGGGTTATTTTTCTCTAGGGTGTACATACACACATTTTATTTATGCTTTAAATTCTGAGCACGCGTAATATCCCCCATGGAAATGTTAAAAAGTTGACAAGTATGCAAGGAACAGGGTTTTTATCAAATAAGGTTTGTAGTTTAGATGAAAAGTTTACACCAGATGGACTTACTGACAACTAGTAATTTATTTTTAGAATTCTGTATCAGTTGAATGAATTTACCTCCTTTGATAACACCAATACCAAAGCAACATCTACCCAGGCCCTTTTCATATCCGTTAAGGATATGTGGAATGGCCCCGGGGTATCCCAGGGCAGCACAGTTTGACGCAGATGTGAGGTTCAGCATCTTTGATTCAGTTAGCGAGGTGGACGTCGGGTTCATCACTGCTGAAGGTGTTGATGCAGAGGTAATCCCAGCTATCTGTAACTTTTAAAACAAAACTACATGTCACCTCTCTAATTGCTACTGCTGATTTAAGGGATAGGATTTAAAATGAACAAATGGCCATTGGAAGACTTACTGGTCAGCTAGCCATAACGGGGTGTTCTCAGTTCCCCCACTTTTTAGAGAACAAAGACGAGTTTTGTTGATATAGGAAGACAATGGCAAATTAATTATAGTCCATTTCATACTTACTAACAGGTCACTCATTCCATTTATATCACAGTTTTTAAACCATCAAATACAATACAAGATAGAATATAACCATCACTACATATTATGAGTAAACAGTCAAATATATCAATACTTACATTACATTTCATTTACATTACACTTTTTGAACTGAGAACAAGCAACTTTAATTGTATCAGAAAAAAAGAAAAAAAAAGACATACCACTGACAGATATGTTATTAAGACCAAAAAAAAACAAAAAAACTTGGTTCTCAGGCCATTTTCTTCCAAAATAAATGAGGCAGGGAGGTATTTTTTTTTTCATTTTACATGACAAAAATGAGACGAGGGTGATTTTTTTTATTGTGTAGTTTGTAAAACGTGAACGACCACGTTCCCATTTCGTTGTTACCGTTTTTTAGTTGTGTAGAAGTCTGTCATGGAGCAAGCCTCCGAAAATCCCCCCACGATGTTCCAGGGAAGAATCACGGACCTCCCCCCATTCCTTATTTGTACCGAAATAAGCGCCATTTGTACACGAGGTTCATAAGTCATAATCGTTTTAACGCTTCCCTGTATATCAATTTCCCAATTTTCCGGATTTTTTTTAAGACGATTTTATTTGTATTACATTCACGATAAAATCAGCAATGTGGTGCCCTAAAATGAAATGCGTGCGGGCCTGATAACAAAGTAATATTTTTTTTTTGGCCTAAGTATTAATTTCAGGCATAAATTATCCATTGTGTTATATATTAAGCACGGGCTGTTGATAATTTAAGCCTGACCTGACCCTAACTCTGACACATTAAGCCGATATCAACCAGTTGTCTATCTATATATTATCAAGCTTAATAATTCTACTATACCAGGTAATTATTAAATAAACAAGGCAAAGTATTGCTATATTTAACAAACAGTACATATATGTCAAACTTTTTCAAAAGTAAAGGTCAAAGTCCAAGTCATAGGTCACAGTCACCTAATTCTTGAACTCTGTAATCCCAAGATGTCCATGTACACCAAATCTGGTTACTCCAGATGAAAGAGCATAGAAGATATGCACCGGACAAACATTTTCAAAAGTAAAGGTCAAAGGTCATGTCATAGGCCAGTGACCTAATTCCTGCACTCCATCATCCTAAGATGTCCTAAATGTACACCAAATCTGGATACTCCAGGTGATTGAGTATAGAATATATGCCACGGACAAACATTTTCAAAAGTGAAGGTCAAAGGTAAAGTCATAGGTCACAGTGAACTTATTCTTGCACTCTGCACTCCATGATCCCAAGATGTCCATATACACCAATACTGGCTCCTTCGGAAGAAGTTCTTTGAAATTTTTGACATATTTGACCCTACTTGTAACTTTGAAAGAAGGTGACAGTTATTTTTTTTCTCAATCTTTCACAGACTCCTTTTCAAGAAATTTATTAAACTACAAGCCAAAATTCATCACTTTTAGTTCTTCTCACAACTTCTTTAAAAGAAGTCATTTAACAGTTTTTGACATATTTGACCATGTGACCTTTAAATTAGGTCAAAGTTAATTTTATCCTCAAACTGATGTGAACATTACCAGCATTGGAATTCAATATCCTCAATTGTTTGATTAAAATAGAGCACACTGTGTGTAAATGAAGTATTATTGCCTTTTTTCCTCAGGCCATAAATACAATAATGTATATACTTACCACAGCAACCACAATGGCGAAAGCAAACCGAGTTTTGTAAGACATCTGAAAAACAAAAAGAGAACATAAGACATTTATCACTGTCACTGATCACTTACAGATTCAAGTTTTATTACTCCAAACACAATCTGTATGTGAACACAACTTGCAGATAATACAGCCAAATAGGGAAGTTTCCGGTCAGGAAGGATGACTGAGCTAGGCCAACATGGATGTAGCCTAGCCCAACTGTCTGACTATTTCTTTTCAAAACTATCGGACAGGAGAGCATACTTGGCATTCAGTCAGTGCATACAGTAGGAATTTACATGGTATGTTTGAAACTTTAGCCTGTGAACCAAGTGAGTAAGAGAAGTAAAGTCTGTGTAAACGTTACATGCTCCTCCACAACCCGCTAGCAGTTCTGCAAAGGTCACTTCGGTCAAAACTACTGGTTGACAAGGTCATAGGCACATTTATTTTATTCATAATATACAAAATTAAAATGGCTGCACCCACTGACCATTGCACGGGATTCGGTCCAGGATCACAGAGCTTGAATATTTTGTTTGCTTTTGTTTCATGATTTTCTATTGGTCTTGTTTGATTTGTTGAAAGTACCTTATATGCAGTAACGTAACTGGAGAAAAATCGCATAACTATTTGGTTTACTTTCGTACAAGATCTTGTCCCTTACTTTACATAGTAAATTTAATGTAGTGTTCTCTTTCCCAAGCTGGGGAAAAAAGGTAATCTAGCAAAAGGATTATGAAGAGATTAATCAAATAAAACTGAATAAGTCGTTATTGATAATTCAAGACTCAGTACATCTGTAACAAGACAGAAAATGCACAGCCAGACTGATATTTTGTAGTAGGACGAGGAATAGTGGTGAAGATAGTGCTGTCGCTGGGGCTCGAACCCACGACCCTTGGCTCTCCAGCCTGATGTTCTACTGCTGAGCTAAAGGGAAACAGCTTACCATTGCAAGGCAACCTAATCAATAAACATCTTTTACACTATTCCCCCCCTTTTTCAAACACCAATCCAGGTTCTTTGACTCCCCGCCAAGGGTTCTCCTACCTTGAACCGGGAGGGTCAACAGCACCAGTTTGTAGTAGGATGAGGACTAGTGATAAAGATAGCGACATCGTTGGGGCTCGAACCAGCGACCCTTGGCTCTCCAGCCCGATGCTCTACCTCTGAGCTAAAGGGAAATTCCTTCAGCTGGCGCTTGTAAGGCAACCTAATCAATGCACATCTTTTACAATTCTTACCCAGGAACTTCTGGCCTCAGTGAAGCACAATCTAAACAATTGAGCTACCTTGTGGCCAGCGATCGACCCAGTCCAGTTCCGCTACATCCCTCCCTCCTTTCTCCAAGTCTTTGCCCCAGATAACAACACTGTTCAAAACCCAGGTTCAAGTATCATGTTGTCAAGTGACACCAAATATTTGAAACAAGGGTTGGTCACAGGTACCAATGTAACATGAGAGAGAAATGCACAGCTAGAACGGGATTTGAACAAGGGGACCATTCAAATTCTAGTCTGACGCTAGTTCTAACCAATGAAGCTGCCTGGTTGCCAACCATCAAACTGGTTTGCTACACATGATTTCACTTGGTCGTGTCTTACCCATATATACTATATATATGTGACCGACGTAATAAGAGATGAATCGCAATCCAACTGGTCGGGTCGCTAGAAAACACTTAAGTGCCACAATAGTGTCCTAAATCTGGTGCAGAGTCTGGGTCAACATACATAGGGATTTTCTTTATCAGGATGGTGCAATGTGACATGAATGGTCACTTTTGGGTGAGTGGAGAAGGTAGGGACCTCAGGATGCACAAGATTGTTATACTTCATTCCCCATTTTTCTTAGCTTATTTTATATTGTTTAATTTCCCGGTATATCTTAGGAAATTTGCTTTTTCAATTAAGGTAAATACATGTGTAGTAGTGTCATTATTTGTCATTATTACTTTTAATATATTTGTGGTATTTAGCTATACGCGTTCGTATGTAACGGAAATCAGCCTTCCGTGTAATTTTGTACGTCACGCATTGTGGCAAAACTTTTAGCACGCGCGTGGAAATAGCACGCGTAAATGCGAGTAAGGTACTGAGCGGATGTGATGTAATGTGTTGTAAACCTGTTTGTCCAGTACGTATTGTCTATGTATAGAATACCTAGTGTTGAATGTAGGGTAATTTACCTGGTGCACTGGTCACTTTGAACAGAGCGGCCAGAGCGAGCACAGCGAACATCTTGTACACCTATATCTTTACCTAGCCAGCATAGGAATTAAAAGAGGTAGCGGGCACTAGAGCCGAAAGCAAATAACGTAAGTTCTTATGTATAAATATAAGTCTAATTCATTATAGTATCTATTCAATAATATATTTAATTAACGTAATATTTTTGTTAAAAGTAAAGTTAATATTTTGAAAGTCTTTGTAAATTTAGAAATCGGGCGTGGTCAATTTAGTAGACAAGTGATTTCGAAGAAGCAAGTTTTTAATATATATTGTTTCCTTTTATAGCTTACATTGAACGAGTAAGACCAAGGACTCGGCGGACTTTGTCCGAGAAAACCCTCTTCACATTGAAGGGGTGGGTATTTTAATATATTTGTAATTATGCTGTACATGTATTTCTATATAATATATAGATTGAATGTAACAGTTGTAATACGTATTCCACTATTATAACTTATGTAACTGGCTACTGCCAGGTAGTTGTTTGACATGTCTTAGCTTATGTGATTGTATAAATGTCATATGTGTAGTAATATGATGTATTTCATGTTACAGGGTTTTTACTTACGTAATAAATGAACTGAGAAAAGAACCCAGGAGTTGTCATATACATTTGTATCCACGATAAAAGACAACTATTACACATGATCACAGTATAACTAAATATTATTATAAGTGACGTCTGTTGGTTTTTTTGTAGTCTTTTGCTGTGTTTTGGGGGCCTGTTCTGGTGTTTTGAGGTGTTTCGTACCACCTTATACATATGATATTTTACAATAGATTGGGGCTGTCAGGCTGATAAGTCTCCGAAGTGTTAGAATGGGAGGGGGTACAAGATACAAGAATTAGTTTACTGAACGTCGCATACCATAAACATACAAACATTAGCTTGGTAGAGCTATTTCTGCGACAAAGTGGGTGGTTTAGCGATAGTTTTGCCTGTTTATAGTGTTCAGTGTCGTTAGAGAGTACAGTTTATGTGATGTGCGAGTGAGAGAGTTGTTATGTCTGTTTAGCCTTGTTATCCTATGATTTGTTCATACATTCATCATCATTTGTTGTGTTAAATAAATATCAGCACAGACTTAGATAGCAATCTAATTCCGTGATATCCATTGGTGGCGTCTTGTATATCAAACCAACGACATAATTATACCCATCAAACCTCGGTTGACGGTTAGGTGCCTTACCTATAGGCGATGCGGGACTTGGGCACCCACGAAAAAAACAGCCTCCTCTGCAATGCCAATGGCCGCATTACATCGTCGTCAAATGATACTATATGTACGTTATCGCAGCTAAATTTGGACCTAAACTTTGAAGGTGTTCAGAGTTATTTTACACGTTTTAGGGGGTTTAGATAGACGTGTAAAATTACTCTGAACACCTTAGTTTAAGGTCCAAATGTAGCTGTAACAAATTGTCAGTCCATGTGCTACCGGCGAGTACCGGTTAGACCCGACATGGCGACAAATATTAATTATCTACTTTTCAATGAAGAGAACTTTCAATGAATCAAAATTTAAAAATACAAAACTGAAATGGTAATTATATGAACATAAAACACCATTTATGACTTATGTAGTTAATGTGGTTATCGAGGATAGGCCTTCTAGCCCATATTGCCGATGTCTAAAAATAGATACTGTAGGCCTACAGTAATCGCTTACAACAAATGTAGAAATATAACTCAATTGACAATTGTCAACCATGTTGGTTGGTTATATTTTATACAAGGGTCATATATACTGTAGGCTATTTCAAGTAAAATATTTAAAACAGCTTACATTAGATGATGGAGCGATCTGCTACTGACTGCAGGCAGACTGCACGATGATGTTGCAATAGTCCCTTTCACATTAACTGCGGTCCTACTATCTCGACATGCGCATAACCACTTCCGCGAGTAAGTTCTTGGTAACCACAGACGCAAGAAATGGTACGATCTTGTGTTGTTTTCAAGTGTTTTAACAGAGCTGATGCTTGTGGCAAGGAGCAGGGAATAAGTTTTTTTCGTTTTCCCGTAGACAAGAAAAAACGTTTAGCATGGATAAAGGCTGTAAACCGTGACAAGTGGACTCCGACGAATGCTAGCTACATTTGCTCCACACATTTCGAGGGAGGGTGGCACAGTTATGATTACGAGGACGTCAATTATCGGCCAACAATATTTCATTATAAAGAGAAACGATCGACACCAACAGAAAAAGCTAGGGAACAGAGGGTATCTAAAAGAAAACTTGAACAGGTGCACAAACATAGATGTGGTGTTGTATTAAAATAATGTATACGTATCTTAAACTCGAAACATTTTTTTAAATCATATATATTGACCCAAAACATTGAAAAGTGTCAAAGATCAAGTAATTTGTTTTAAGGTCTGCATGGATGTATAAAAGACAAAACATACTTTTAGGTAGAATTGTGATATACATGTACTACATTATGACATATATAAGGAAAATATCTGTCACATGATTTTAGTTTTTTATTAAAATCAATTACTTGAACTATCAAACATATCATCCACTTATCAAGAAGAAAGGGGTATAGAAATACACAAAAATAAGATAAATAAATTTTAAAAAGTAGTAACTAAATTGTTTTTTTGTTTTGTTTATCAAAAATAAATAGTTTCATTTATACTTGCACGTATAAACACAGAATCTAGCGTTATTCTTAATACACATCTTGTACCATGTGTACTGAATAAAATTTATATACATGTACATTGTACATATAAATTGTAGGAATTTATGGAAGCAGAGAAGGCAAAGAAATACACAGAGGATCAACATAAAATGTTTTCTGTCTTTACACACTCCTATTGTGAAGTATCATCACCTGAGCATGCAGAAACTGCTCATATGGAATTTGAAACAACAGATGATTCAGACATTATTTCATTCCAAGACAATGGTATGACTAAGCTTATTGCTAGTTAAGAATAATGTATGAATTCCTTTAGCTGAATTGTATGATGCCCACTCCCAGATCATTTTCTTAAGTTTTATTATGATCTACTTCAGTAATTGAATTCTGAACTAATTTTATGAATAAACAATTTATTTATGGTATTTTTGAATGATTGAATTGATCAAATGATTTAAATATATCATCAATTCCTATTTGTGTCAAACCATAGACTTTATGATAAAATTTGCACTTGTATGTATGACACTATATGCTACTTCAAGGTTTAGCAAGCACAAAAAAAACAAGGGGAAAATGGAAGGACTAGTCAGCTTGGTCTCAAAATAGTGTGTCAGAATTTGAGTACCGTGTCTGTTTACTTTCAACTCATGTAATTGTTAATTGAGGAAAAATTGAGATGACATTACAGTTTCCAATGACAATAATAAGGAAACAGTATTTCAGTGGTGGCGGTTGATTTTTACCCTTGTATAAATTAGGTTGTTGATATTCAGAATGCCAAACTGAACCTCTTGAGTTGATCGAAGAAAACAAAATACTGAAGGAGGAGCTTCAAAGGTACAAGGAACAGCTGCTTAAATCAAGATGGAGTACAGAGCAGATAAAAGGCAATGATACAAGCACCAAATTCTACACTGGATTGCCAACTTTTGCAGTTTTCCTTTGGCTTTTTAGGTACAAATTGTCGTAATAAACACAGTCACTCAATTTTGGTAAAAATTTGAACGAAGTCAAATAATAAATGATTGGGTTTGGCGCTACTCTGCTGTATGGAACTCATATATTGTATGATGCTGCCAACATAGAAAAAATCTTGATTTTTTCTTATAATATTGTACTTATTTACCTAACTGCAATAAAAGGTTAATCTGAGGTCAACACCAGTGTCTGATTTTGGTCATGCAATGCCTAATAATCCCCCTTTTTGCCAGAGATAAGCATGGTTTTATAATTGTGCTTTATAACCTTAATATACTCATCTCTACAAAGATATAAAAAGAAAAGGGGAGAAATCAAACCATTTTCATCATATTACAGGTTTCTTAGACCAAAAGCTGAACGTATGACCTATTGGAGTGGAGGTAAAAGTCAGAACCAGCCTGACAGAACAAGGTCCAGCACAGGGTCATTAAATCTTATTGATCAGCTATTTGCAGTTCTGATGAGGATACGGCTAGGCCTATTTGTCCAGGATATATCAGACAGATTTGGTATCTCAGCAGGAACTTTCTCTAAATATTTTTCCACTTGGATTGCCCTCTTACATTGTGAACTTAAAGTGTTAAATCATTTCCCTAGTCGCCAAGATGTTGACAGAACAATGCCAGACATATTCAAGAAAAAATATCCTTCTGTTCGAACAATCATTGACTGCACTGAAATCTTTGTACAAAGATCAAGCAGCCTTTTAAATCAAAGTATAACTTTCTCCAATTATAAACATCACAACACATTTAAATTTCTAATTGGTATCACTCCATCAGGCATTATATCATTTGTATCTGAAGGATGGGGTGGTAGAGTTTCAGACAGACAAATTACCATTGAATCTGGAATCTTAGATTTGTTGCAAGAGAATGATAGTATAATGGCAGATAAAGGGTTCACAATTAGAGACCTTCTTCAAAAAAAAGGTTGTACACTAAACATTCCTCCATTCAAAGGTGTTGCAGCACAGTTTTCCACAGCTGAGGTTTTTGAAACACAAGAAATAGCAAGACTGCGTATACATGTTGAAAGATCTATTGGACGAGTGAAAAATTTTCACATTTTTGATGGAGTTCTGCCACTTTCATTAGCACCACAGGCATCCAAAATCTTTCAAGTAGCTTGTTGGTTAACCAATTTTGACGTACCTTTAGTATCATGACAATATTCAAAATACTTGGAGACTTCTAGAACATTATATTTTGTTACCATTAAATTGAGTATTTGAAAGTTTCTATATTGACTTGTGTGTCAATACTTTAAATTTTGTGAGCCTCCGGTTTCGCTCCTGGTTTAATGAGTTTTTTATGTATGAATTGATGCATTTGTGTTTGCTCTGGTTGTTGTCTTGTGTGCCAATAGTTTGCTTTCAAACATGACACCCCCTATATGAGCAGATGAAAGAAATTGTCCCCCCACCACCACCACCACCACCACCACCACAAATTCATTACTCATTTTCTTATTGTCATATATTGTTCCTTTTAATTACATTTATCAGATTATAGTTAAGTACTATTCTATAATATCAATAAATTATCTCCCTTGCCAACATTGATTTGGAGTGCTTTCTTTGTGAATTAGCAGATCTGATTAAAAAACAAGAGGCCCATGGGCCTAAACGGTCACCTGAGTCTACAGTATTTATTTTTGTTGTTGAAATATGTACCAATTTGAGTAAAAAATAGTATAATGTTAACTTAACTTTGTCAGGACCATGAGCTGATCATTCCTAGACCAATTTTAAGTGAGATCGGCCTATTAGAACTTAGTAGCAAAATAGCGGCCATGGCAGCCAAATTGTATTTCTGATTGACCCGAAAAATAACAACACTTTGTCAGGACCAT